ATTAAGAGATTTGACCAGCCACTATCACCTCTTCCCACTGTTTCCCGACTAAAATACTGATCTAGACTGACATCTCTCCACCAAGACCCTTGTCCTTTGATGGGACCAAGGACTTGGGCCTTCATGATGTCTTCTGTGTGAATGGATCCCAAATCAGAAGCACAGTTTGTCCGTGTTGGTCTTTGTCCATATATATATACTTCTGCTCTTGGAAAGTTTAGACTGTCCTCAGGTCCTGTAATCCCTTTTTCTTGGGAGATGTTTGTGGATTCATTGTGTGCTACTAAGGGTACCATGGCCTCTGCTGCCTTCTACTACCAACTCCCCTACTTTGTGCTAGCTATAAGGTATGTTCTCAAACTCTACTTGCAGCAGGCAGCCCAGCTCAGAAGTGGCACAAAGCTTGGAGGGTAGTGGGATAGTTCAGTGCTAGTACCAGTTTATCAATTAAGTCCAGCAGCAGCAGAAACAGGGGTGTGAATCCAGCCGGAGGCACAACCCTATCTATAGGCCATGACTGCTTCCTGGATTCTCTGGGAACACTGACTGGCCCTCAGCCCAGCCACCTAGGATAAAGAAGGAAATGATAATTATCACCTAGGCACTTTGTTCCTTATAAGGCAGCCAAGACTGCCCTTTGTTCTCTGGTGTTGAGACAAACTGTTAACTGTCATGATAAAGGGTGAAGGTAGAAGGAGGGAAGAACAGGTTGGGCAGATTAGCCTCCATGGCCCAAGCACCTGTGGCCCCTCCTATTTACACAGAAACTGTGGGGAAGTAAAGGCTAATATACCTAGTTATGTCAGGAAGTGACACTTGAATGGTCTGTGTGGGCAAGCAAAGGGCAGTGGGAGTAAAGTAGCTGAAGCCTATGGTATCTTTAGAACAAGTCTACAAGCCACTCAGTTGATTAGCGAAGCAAGACACACAACCTGGAGACTTCTAAGATCTGGAAACAAAGGCTGGGAAACGTGTCGGTTATCAGAGAACTTGGTGAGATCTACGTGATGGTCCAGGAGTTTTTCAAATGGAGACCACTTTCTTCATTTACCTTTACTTCTTTTGTGTCAAGCCCACCACAAAGTCACTTTAATGGGGGTATGGAGAATGGTATTCCCCTTATGCCAGAGGCCTGTGGTTAAGATGGGCCAGCCACATGGAAAATTAAAGGAGCCTTGTGTCTTCCAAGGGTTATGTGCCACGCATTGCTGTTCCCATTGCACATACCAACTCATTAGCCCGCCCCAGGGTCCCCAGAGGCAGGAGTTTTCATGCTACAAGAGCAGAAGTGATGTCACACTACACTGCAATAGTACTTGCTCTGAGCTTCAGCTCTGCACTGCTTGGACATGATAGTCTATTGATGGCCAGAATAGACTTACTGTTTTAGAAAACATCCAAGCTGCCCATGATCTGGGACCTACGTTAAGGGGTAAAATGCACAATGTACTGGTGGGCCCTCTGAACACTGCCATGAGAGATTGAATTTCAAAATACTGTAGCAATAAGATGGGTTAAGTCAATACCTGAGTCCTATATGCCTCTATAAGACCCAAACTTTTTTGTGAGAAATTTTAGAAACCCATTATTTAGAGCTGTTGTAGCCAGCCAGCATAGGTCCATTAAGAGGAGAAAGGTTTGAGCATTTTTCTGACATTTCTTCCTCTCTTTGTCAGGCACAGCTATGTCATTGTGAAGAAATTTCCAACTCACAGCTCATTTCCCCCAAGAGTGCTAAAGGTAAGATGGGCAGCCTCTTGGGCTGCAGTCCCAAGAACTATCACTGGGGGGAGCCAGAGATTAAAGGCAGTGGAACACTAGAAAGAGAAACCTGCAACGTAGGACCAAACTCATAGGGAATTATTTAATGGACAGTTTCTGTTTTGTAAGGTGGAAAAAATGTAGATATTAGCTGCAGAACATGAGACATATATAAACCATAATTAGGACGTACATACCTCTAAAAACACCAGAAGTCTAAAATTTTAGTACGTATTTAAAAGAGGAACTAGAGAGATGGCTCAATCGCAAAGAGCACTCACTGATCTAGAGGACTTAGGTTCAGTTCCCAGTATCTACATTATCAGCTCACAACAGCCTGTAATTCCAGTTCCAGAGGATCTTCTGCCCACTTCTGGCCTCCACAGGTACTAGGCACACAAGTGGAACGCAATCGTACATGCAGGCAAAACTTCCATATACACAAAATTAAGTGTTTTAAAAGCGTATCTACTACATACCTATCAGCATAGTCAACATAAAGGATACCTCCAGATGCTGGTGAGGATGTAAACCAACAGGAACTCCCATTCATGGGTTATAAAAATACAAAATGGTATATTCATTTGAAAAGCAGTTTAGTAGTTGCTTACAACAAAACATACCCTAACACACGACACATTAATCTGAAAATTTATGCCTACACAGGAACACACACAGTATTTATGGCAGTTCTACTCATAATTGCCCAAATTGGAAGCAATCAAGATGTCCTTTGGCAAACAGGAAGCTGGCAAAACTGGGCATATCTAGACAATGGAGTATCTTTTTGGCAGCAGCAAAGAAATGAGCTGTGTAGCCATAAATACATGAAGAAACCATAAATGTGTATCACTAAATTGGAAGCAGCCAATCTGAAATGGCTATATACTGTATGTTTCTAACTATATGACACACTAGAAAAGGAAAAAGTATGAAGATGACAAGATCACTGGCTGTCAGCTTTTGGAAGGAAGGGGAGGAGCAGTTGGCACAGCTGTTTTAAGGTAGCAAACTGTCCTCTAAGAGACTGTAATGGGGTACACAAGCGTCATAAATTTGTACAAACCCATGAAATGTACAGCACCAGGAGCAAATCCTAATGTAAACTGCAGACATGATGGGTGGGTATAAGGGATCATGTAGGTTCATCACCCACAACCAATGTGCGACTCTGGTGGGGGCACAGCCAATGGGACAGGCTGCACATATATATCTGGAGGATGAATGTACATAGGAGATTGATTACCGTCTGTTCAATACTACAGTGAACCAAAAACTGCTTTTAAAAAAATCTACGACAACACGCATGCACTGACCTTAGAAACTGCAGAAGCTCAAAAGCACAGTCAGCTAAGGCACTGCAGACATCAGGAAACTGTCATCAAGAGGAACTGAACAGGGCCACTGTCCACTGGAAGAATCACTTCTGAATCCCAATTTAAAGAAAGATGTAGAACAATCATGACTGAAGCAGTGCTCAGGGATCATCATAAAATGGAAAGGGGACAAAAGAACAAAAGGCAAAGTGACAAACACCTGCTATCAGTAAAATATTTTCCTCAAGATAACTATTCTTCAAGTTTTATGGCTTAGTCCTTGACACCTGAAATCTATCAATTGCATTTTAACTGTGTTAATACAGGTAACCAACAAGAGATGCCATCCAGCTCAATAGCCCTCATTTCTATTCAGGTCTTGTCCAGCTGGCTGAGCATGATCCCATGGCTGACAAAGCACTTCATTCACACTCAGCACCATCCAGAAAGGTGAGATGAGAAATGGACCACACTGCTTGTTACAGCCATTAAAGCAAAATTAATCTGCCATTTCTGCAGCCCCAAATTCATGGGCACACTAGAACTCATTTATAATTGATTACTTCCAACTCAAAACACTATTTAAAGTATTTCTTCTGCTCTCTTTTTTAAAAAAACAAAGTCCATTAACATTGCATTATAGTTTTATAATCCTTAAAATTAATGCTGACTGGGAATATTTCCTCATGTCAACTTCAAAAAGTCAGAGGCAGAAAAGAACCCTAGGTTTGGTTTCAGGCTCTGCTGCCAAGGACTACCTAGACTTCAAGAAGCCAGGGAACAAAGGGCTGATGGTGGCCTCCTGGGGAATAGAATCAAGGTCTCCTTTGGGAGGTTGATCTTGGAGAAGGAAAAGACAGACACATTCACTTAGAGTAAATGAAAAAGGACACAAGGTTAAAATGAAGTTTATTATGGTTTTGTTGGTTTTTTTTTTTTGATTTTTGTTTTTTTAAATAAAACTGTTTGTAAAACAGCTATTTTATCCCCACGGCAGAGTGACCCCTGAAAGATGCACATATCCCTTCTTAAGGCCTTAACAAGATTTTTTTTTTGTACTTTTTTCTTTTTTTAAAACTCATATATTTAAAAATTATACAATTTACAAAACAAAACAATACAACATAAAGATTCATGTAGCATGAGGCCACACATCTGACAAGCCCCCTTTTTCCATTATAAAAATGAAAGCAAAAAAAGTGTTCAAGTGGGTGGTTCTGGTCAGCTTCACCCACCCACATGGCTCCTACGCTCTTCTCCCCCAGACCTGGCCTATTTCAGCAGCAGAGGCCTGGGCCTCCATGGGTTCCATGGATCCTGTGGGTCCTGATGGGTCCCAGTTACATAAAATTTGTCAAGGAAAGAGGGCGCCAGAGGTAAGCCATTCCTTAAGTATACCTGTTGCTGTGGGGCTACTCTACCTACTTGGTGGGGCCACAGAGATCCAGGACACAGCATGACCTTGGAGCATCTACCAATTCCACCCCCCCTAAAAAAAGAAAAAAAATTAAAAATAAATAAATAGTGTTTCTGGAAAGGAAAAAAAATTTATTTTTGTGTTTAAACATCATTCCCCCACTTTTGAAAATGACCATCCCCATTCTGCCCTCCCCCAAAACTTCCCCTGTGAGACAGACTGACCAGAGGAAAGGTGGTTGTCATTGGTCTGCTCTTTCAGTCCTGGGTCTAGTGTTCACTGAATTCTTGTGAGACAGGCTAAAGATCAAAGCCACACCCCATCCTTTATGAGATGAGTTTGTTCAGTTCAATTTCACATTTAAATTTCATTGTCATTGGAACAAATTTTGAGTTAACTAGATAATTTTAAAATAGAATCAAAAGGGATAGCGCACCTTTCATTTAAACAAAGTCTTTCCAGACTAAAAATAGATTTATATATATATATTTTTTATCCCTCCCTCTTTCTCTCCTGTGGTGTCACCAGTTTGAGTGTGATGTGAAAACATGGGAAGGAAGTGCTGGCATGGGCAGGCGCAGTGGGGGTGCAGGGTAGGGTAGGGTGAGGGTGTGGTTGTACAGCAGGAGGATTCCATTCCATCACGTGTGTCCACCACCTTCTTATCTCCACAGTCTCACCTGGAAAACAAGCAGTAGACACTGGGTACTGGGAAGGTCTATACGGTCTCAGCACAGCTATGGTAGCAATACAAGGATATGGCTTTCAATAAGGATCTTACACTCAGACCTTTGTATAGATGTCTGCTAATTTTGAACACATCCAAGATCAATGCCAGCACTATCGGGCACTTTGAACCAAACATGGGGAAAGGCATCAGCTAATGGGTCTTGCATGGAAGGGACCAAAAAACAAGATTCCTTGACCTCCATGGCTGGGCCATGTTTGAGAGTGTGGTGTGTGATTCTTTGCCAGCATACTAAGCGCTGAGGTCCTGTGGCTGGCTCAACTCTTGTGGCAAAGCTCAGTCCTCATAAAAGTGACTGACAGTATCCTGTTGTCCCTGAAATGTAGAGCACCCACTCAAATTGCAAAAGGATCATCTCACAACTATGTCTCATCTGTCTGCTCTTCATGCAAATAGAGAACACTTCTCAGAGCCTCTGATGGGGAGGTGAGACAAGCCCTAGTCCATTTTCTAGAGCTAGTACAGAGCTGGAGGCTTTAATTCTGTAACTCCTCAGGAACCTGAGGTACTTAAGAACCCTGGGCTTCTCTCTTCTACCATTTCAGATTTCAGAGGTTGTTCTTACAACCCATGTAGGGCAAATGGATTTTTCAGGGGACTTGGAGGAGTGCCTTATGTGAGAAGCTCCCAGAGACATAATAGTTTCCAAGGACTTAGTCCAGGAAAATTACACCAGAAGCAAGCACTCTCATCCTTGCTTTCTGCCAATCACTGCACTCTTCGAATCTGTGTCTCTTGGGATTCCTGTTTGTCTCTTCCTCAAGTCTCTCCTGTCTCACCACCAACAGATAAACTTCAGGAAAAACCAGGCTCACCGTCTCATACCTGCCCTCACGAAGCTGACCAATTTGCAACACTAAGAAGGCTGATATGTGTGTAGGACCTAAGAATGCACTGTTCATATGAACACATAATCACACCTGCCCTTGCTAAATGCTTTACAAAAAGTCTAGGAAGGAAGAAGGCACTTTGCCAAGACAGCAGTATATCGCAGCCCAAGACTCCAATTCTGGGAATGCAGGAGTTTTATCATGGCACTACAAGATGAAGAAGCTCAAGTTCAGAGAAGTGACACTTGCACCCAAGGCACGTGGCTAGTTCAATATAGGATTTGGGTTTACAGCTACCTAATCCTTTGCTATCCCGGTTCCAGGGATTGTGTTTCATTGCATGAGACATGGCTGAGAAGAGGTAACTAGGCTTTAGGTGAGTTTTCTGCCATTCCAATCTGAAGATGGCCAATATTCTCTTTAAATCTCACTGGGAATGTGGCTACCATCTATAATCATAGCAGTTGGAGGAATAAGGGAAGGGGATTTTGAAAAACCAAAATGACTATTACTAAGAATGAGGATGTGATGAGGGTAGCTTAGTAGCAGAACTCTTATGTGGGACTAGGGCTCTATCTCCACAAGCACAAAACATTAAGCACCTTGATGTTCATCAGGTAAAGCACAGGGCTCTCTTTAGACTCCCTAACCTACCCTGTGACCTGAACCTGAGAGGGCTTCCTTTGTATCCTTCTCCACCCAACTATAAGACATACTCGCAGCTGCAGCAGGCACCACTCACTCAGTTCAACTATGCCAGGATTCAGAGACTTCTTCTCTGAAGTACATATGATCCCTACCTGAGGAGGGACTGAATTCTGACTCGGTATTTAATTACAGTATAAGGGAGATGTGATGGACTAAGGGTCTCCTTTTGGAGGTTTTAACAAAAGCAGCACTTCCCTCGAAGAACTTAGAGTTAGGGTGGTACTTATTCATCTGTGGATGACTGCATGCTACTCAAAAGGAGCAGAGAGGATGCCATCCCTTTCTTTCCATGGCTGTTCTACGCAAGGCATATATATGGGTAGGTGGCATTCCTAGCACCCAGGATAGAACATCTCTTCAAATGATGGTTTCTGTTCCCTGTCTACTACATCTCAGGGCCAAACAGGGAAGCCATGTTCAGGAATCCTTCTGTCAAAACCTGTAATGAAGCCAGAGAGTATCAGTATTTGTTTGTTTTTGGATGGGGTTTCTTTGTGTACCCTTCGCTGTACTAGAACAGGCTCTATAGATAAGGCTGTACTAGAACTAGCTTTGTAGATCAGGCTGATCCCAAACTCCCAGAGATCCACCTGCCTCTGCCTCCCAAGTGCTGGAATTAAGGTGTGCAGCACCACTGCCTGGCTAGTATAACAATCTTAATATCAAAGGCCTATCATGGTAGGAGACTTTCTTGTCCTCAGAAATGGATGGGGCATGGCCTACTGTGGCCTACTAAGACTTTGCCTCTCTTGCATTCTTAGCCTGGTGGGGACAAGTACACAAACCCGAAGATGTTGGAGCAACATCTTCTAGCACCTAGCACTGAGTATTTTTTGCTAGATAGAGCAGTTGCAGCTCTCAGAAACACACAGCTAGGTAGCATGCAGTGGCCAGTGTGCTCTGACTTGCCAAGGCCTTGTCAAATCCTCCTTAGTTCATCACTGATATTTCTTTTCTTTTTTTTTTTTTTAGACAGGGTTTCTCTGTGGCTTTGGATACTGTCCTGGAACTAGCTCTTGTAGACTAGGCTGGTCTCAAACTCACAGAGATCCGCCTGCCTCTGCCTCTGCCTCTGCCTCCCAAGGGCTGGGATTAAAGGCGTGTGCCACCAATGCCTGGCTGATATTTCTTTCGTTACATAGGAAACAAAAACATAGAGATACTAATGGCTTTAACCTCAGTCACACAGCCCCTTCCCCATCATTTTGTATGAGAAAGTGGGGTACCAGTAGGTCAGGACACATGCACACTTACTGTCCCTTCTTTTGTGTAGTTCCCCATTAATGGTGACTTTCTATCCTGAGCACAACTGTTCCTTGAGGACAGTAGTTTGTTTCTGTCCCTGACCACTGAGGCTTCAACAACTGTTTGGCCTTTAAAGGACACTGACTGACCTCAGTGTAACAACTGAATAGACAAACCTAGAAATAAATTTTTCATTGTGGGAAGTTTACAAAGAGAATATTCCAGATATTAAAACCAGACACGGGGTCTGTTTTTTACTCAACAGGTGACTGCTACAACCTCAATAGACTTGAGGTTCATCCCCACATAAGGGTCAGGTCTATTATGGCCAGATACAAGCTCAGGAAGGGTGGAGGTAAAATCCATCATTCTGCTCAAAGTCCATTCTGCTTCTAGTCCAGAAATGGAAGAGTCTAAGAATGAGTAGGGATGATTACCAAGGTCCCCAAGGCCCAGATTTTCTAAAACTCAAGCCTGAATTCAGGACAAAACCAAATTCCAAATGATCTCATTTTTACCTCAGCCTAGCCTTCTAGGACACACTTACTTCAGGAATCTATCACGTGGTCCCCTTGGAATTTGACTCTAACCATCAGGGCCAATACAGAGGCACTTACAGAGACTGCAGAGCCTAGTTAGACAAGGTGGCATACAAGATCATGAGTTCCACTGAAGGCCAATACAAACAGTTCTCCAAACCCATATTTATCTCCCCACCACTCTGTCCTGAGGGTCACATCACTATTCCAGGACTGTGCACAGCCTGTATATACCCCAGTAGCTTCTACAAGTACAGAGCCTTTTTGTCAGTCCACAGTCTTCTCATGTTTGGGTCTTGTGCCCCAAGAACAAGTAAAATGGCTCACATTCACCTTTCAAACTGTTCTGCTCTAGGCATTGCCAGCCCTATTCCCTGCAAGAGGCAGGCAGGGAGAAAAGGCACTACAGCAAAGCACTCAGCATCCCCACCAGGGAATCCTGGGGAGCCCACATCTGATCTAGACTTATCCCACAGCGGGGTGCAAGCTGCTTCCTCTGAAGTTAGTACCTGAACCACCAATTAAACAAGCATTTTCTTAGAGGAAAACCACATATGCTAAAATGAATTCAACTGTTCTTCAAATTATCAATGGTTTTTCCAGAAAGCGGCAAAAACCTCCCAGTTGTAACCAGGGAGAGGGCACACACCACAGAGAATAGGTCTGCTGTGTCTGTGGGAGCAGAAGAGCCCCATTTAAAGAATGATCCCACAGACACCATATCTCCATACAGCAAGGCCCACGTCATGACAACTCTGTTCTCTTTACACTCAACTTTTTTCACCTGTCAGTGACAGAGCAGGAAGGCTGAACCACGCTTCCAGAGACCATGTCCTCTAAACTGCATTCTCATGGTTGCACAATGAGTTTAATCCCTTGACACTGTTAAAAATGTAACTAAACTGGATGACAAAACCCACTAAAACAATTTTCCTTCTCTTTGTGCTTTTAACAAAGGAATTCTCCACAGTACTGGGTGGGATTACAAATAATAAAATTTGGAGAATATTTTGGTCCGTTTTTTTTCTTTCTTTCTTTTTTTTTTTGGTTTTTTGAGATAGGGTTTCTCTGTGTAGTTTTGGAGCTTATCTTGGCACTCGCTCTGGAGACCAGGCTCACAGAGATCTGCCTGCCTCTGCCTCCCGAGTGCTGGGATTAAAGGCGTGCACCACCAACGCCTGGCTTATTCTGTTTTTTTTTTTTTTTCCCCAAAGAAAACATAGTATATAAGCCTTACTGAAATGTCTTTTTTTAAGTGACCTCTGGTTAAACTCCTCTAAGACAAAGTCAAAAGAGCAGGCTGCTGGCAGATGATTCCCACTTGTAGGGTTGTCCTAGAGGTTCTGCCTTTAGGACTATCAATCATGGGCCCATTTGTCAACTCTTCACTAAAGGGCTAACTTCAGGAAAAGTTGTCCCTTTTGATTCCAATTGGCAGTGGACAGTTTTGATGTCTCTACCATCTTCCTGTAGACATTCAGGAAGTTAAATAACAAATGAGAAACTATTTTTTTTCTGGTTTTATTAATCCACAAGACTAAATGTTGATGGTGCAGCATGTGGCCCATAAGAAGCCTGAGGCCAGGACTCACATGGAGCTTTGTGAGGAGGTGGTGGGAGCCCAGCAGGCCCCAACTCACCTGTGCTTGCTGTCCATTCCCACGTGCACACTGCCCCCCTCACCCCCGCTCCGACTGCTCTGTGCTGAGGCTGCCTTTCGCGGTCTTGTTCTGCAAGGGGGGGAGAGGGCACGGAAGGGGAGGCTGATGCCAGCCAAAGCCAAGGGGAGACAAGACAAAAGGACAGAACAGAAAATATAGTGTGGAAACCAGGGAGGGTAGTGGTAAGGACAGGAATGGCACATGGAAAAGGAAATAAAAAAAAGCAGAGTCAGTACTGAATGACAAACAGGAGACACCCAGACTTGGCTTTCTGAGGCAAAAAATGTGATCATAAGTAAAAATAAAGAGAATACTGTCTGATCATAAGAACCCCCTCTGAAAAGTATTCTTAAAAGAAAAGCATATGAATCTGCCAGGAACAGTCTGAGGACAGCCCTATTTGGAGACTGAGTGGTCAATGGCCACCAGGTGTCAGTGTGAACTTAGCTAGACAGGAGCAAGTGCAGGAGACATGGGCAGCAGAGCTCTCCACCCTGACCCTCCTCTTTCACCCCATCCCACCTTCTGTGGTACCTCAGAAATGAGTTTCTAGCCTCATCTTTCCACCTTTCCTAAATGAAATGACTATTAAAAGCATCACTTAAACACAACGGCAAATGGGCCAGTAGCAGCCCATCACCTATACCTTGTTGGGTTGCTTCTGCTGCACTACCTGGGAGAGAACGAGAGCTTCCCCCAGCTCTGGAGTTGGCTCTATTTCTTAGTCCAAGAAATGTTTCTATACCAGACCTTGCACCCACTCATTATGAATTGATCCATAACTGGATAGAGTTTACAAAACTCAAGTAGAAAACAGTAATAGTTTCATTGAGTCTGATCTTCTAATTTCTCATAATGAACAGTTATCACCCCCCCCCTCAAAACAGCATACCTCGTCCCATCCTACCATGAAGGGTGTTGGCCCCATTCTCCAGGGATTTCTTCGGCTCTGTGCCCCTTTACCTTCCAAGGGCTAGAAGGCTTCAGCTAGAGGTACATGTTGGGAAAGGCATGGTTGAAGTCTTTCCAATGCCTGGGGCTTTAAATCTTTCAAGGGGGCTACCCCTAATCTCCAGCTACACAGCCAGCCCCACTCAGAGTGAAGGGGTCTATGACTCACCTTGTGCTTGGGGCACCTCACCGAGAAGTTCTCCTCATGTAGCAAACAATCTACAAAACAAAGGAGACAGTCAGATGAGCCTGTGCATGCTTAACCAAAGTATGGCCATACTGGTTGGACTGACAGACACGAACCTAAGAGGCCTCGATACCGATTTATTTCATTTCTTACTTCTGAATGTATATATGCAATATTCTTTATTTAATATGAAAAAACTGACCCTATTTGTGGAAAAGCCAGATGCCAAGGGACACATACACTTTTTCCCAGCTTTGTTACGTTTTTAGTGGGTTATCCAGAGAACTGCCATAGGGTGCTCACATGGCTGCTGGAGTCTAGACCCTGTCCTGCTATCTTTCCTACCCTCTCAGATAAAGGATTTCCAGAAGCTTTTGGTCTGCCTGGATTTTCAAGTCATTAAACATTCAAAATGTTAACATCATTCAGATCTGCACCTTAGACACACAATTGTTTTTCTCTTATTCTTTGACCACCCTATAGTTCCTAATAAGAAAACATCAGTGACATCCAAAATAATCTATGGTAATGACATGGAATCAGCCACAAAAGACTAGTATTTTAAAGTGATTGATGATAAGTGTAAACAACCATTGTATTGTTATACAAAAATCACTCCATAACCAGGATATATAAATGTCTAACTAAACTTTAAATTTCATTACAATTTTTACATACATTCAAAACAAAAAAAGACTGAAATGAAACTTCCAAAATGTATCAGTGACCTTCTTGTAGGAAGAAAATAGGTGATTTCAACAAAACCCTTTCTCTCTGTGTATTTCCAAATGACAATGCTTAACAATTGAAGATAATCTCTAACCCCACAGGATCCACAGGATTAATGCAAAGCCTCTAAAACACACACACACACACACACACACACACACACACAAAATACAGTGACCCCCCCTTCTGCCTCTATTCAAGACAGCCCGGTTTCAAGATAGAACGGCGACCAGCCCTTTAAGCCGGGCTGTCACTTGCATACCACAGCCCCTAGAGACACAGGAAGACATTCCTGACATGATCACACAATCCGAACTGAACATTTCAGAGGGAAATCAAAATCCCATAAGGGTGGTTTTACTCCCTGGAGGAAAAAACATATGATGTATTTCAGCTTTTAACACGGTGGCAACATGCCTGAAGGCAGCCAAGAATACATGTACCTTCAGGTAAGTCCAGCTTTAAGGAACAGGGCAGTGTGTGGAGCAAGGCAGATAAACCTAACTAATGAGTTTATTCTGTACATCACAGCTCTGACAGACAGACAGCCAGGTCACTGGTGCAGAATGTGATGGCAGAATGTTAACATTGATCACACACTCTGAGAGAGCTCTCAGGCACCACCACAGCAAGAGGCAGCCATGGCATTTACCTTAGTAAGTTCACTATTTAACCAGTTTAAAATGAAATCCAGATTAGTAGTCTATATAGCCACAGATTTCAAATGCAATAGAAGAGTATGTAAGAAGCAGAGGAACACACAAATGATACCTTCTCAGGTCCTCAGTATCCTGAAGAAATCAGTTAAGACACTCAAGGTGGGCTATCAGCTTTCTCAGATCAAGGCCCAAGAACTCAGCCAGTTATCACTAGATGCCAGGCCCCTCCCTCCAGCATGCAACAAGCATAGCAGTAAGTGAACTGTGTTAATTTAAACCCACAAGTTCATAGCATGACCAAGATTCCTGCTGCTCCAATCTGCCAGTGAGTTTATGAACAGTAGGAGGCAGACTACTGGAGCTCAGGGAAGTACTTTCTCTTCACCTGGATTCTCCAGTGGCGCTATGCCACTAGTCTCCAGGCACAGTCAAACATGCCAGAGGATTTACAAAATCATCTGGAATAGGGACAATGTCAATTGCAAAAGGCACCATCAGAAACGCACAGGTGAGTTCATTCACCCTCAGAGTGACAGAACAGTGTGACCTGCTGTGACAGACCACTAATAAAATGTTTCTTAAAGTTAGAAGACTTTTTTTTTTCCTGAGTTAAAAGAAAAAACAAGTCACAAATAAAACACTGTAAATATATATTACACTTCTGGAGATGGAGTTCTCCTAAAAAGTCTTACAGACTGCCCCCCTCTGCCCTTGCAGCACACTGTAAAGACAAATGCTCTTTTCTCTTCTCATACAAATCTGCAAATCATCAGGAACTGTAATTGCATTCTTAGCAAAAGTCGGTACATAGGCAGAAAGCTCAGAAGGTGGAAAAGTACAGAAGAGATTATGCTATCTAATACCCCAGCGCTACCAAGATAAGAGCAAAGAGTACAAAGTGCAGTGAAATCCCAACTGAGGACTCTGGCGGGTACCTAGTCCTCTCTTGGTCAGCCAGTGACAATCACCTGATTTGCATTTTCTCAGACCCTGGCACTACCTTGCTGTCCACAGGGCCTGGTCAGAATTCCTATAGGGTAGAAACCAAAGCAACAACTCATCAGCTCACCACATGAGCTAGAAAAGATTCACAAGGTAGAACAGTCAACAAGACAGCTTCCAGAAACAAATACCACCTCCATAGTACCCCTAGGAGAGGTATAAAGCATAAAGACCAGGGTGGCTTTGCTGAGTGGGTCATAACAAGCTCCATAAAACTCAAGTGTATCATCCATACAGAATTCAGGTTGAATGAAGATGGTGATCTCAAGGATAAGGTAGGAAAAACTAGAGGGGGTCTAACATGTCCTTTAGGTTCCTTGTTACTAGACACAGTCACCAGATGAGGTGCAATTTACCTCACAGAACTGTCATCCTCATACTAGTATAGATGGACAATACAGTCCTATGGCCACTCCTGAAGCACAGGGAGGGGAATAATACGCCCTAGAAATAAATCCTTGATGCTGATAGAGCCCCTCCCAGGAGAGGACAGATCTTTGTGTTTTGTCACAACCCACCCCAGACTCTGACCCCACTATTCAAAGTCTTCAGCAGAGAGTGAAATTTCCGGCTGTGCTTCTTCATGAGACTTAAAGAAAAATCCCCTCCAGCCAAGTTTCTTTATGCACAGTGGAATTACCAATGAGCTACCACAGACTTACTTCTTGTCTTAATTGTTGTGTTCTTTGTATTAATACATTAAACATTTTCCTAGAATCAAAATCAAATCATATTCTTATTACTGTATCCTCTATATAAAGCCAAACTCTCCTGTAACATTAACAACCAACACAGAAAATCTAATGATGGTATCAGAAATATGGGACAACATTAGGTGGGGGAGTTACAGGAGTTGCAGAACCTGAAACAAAGATTCCATTTCCATGGAGACAACCAAACAATAAAAGTTCTTCCAGAGGCATCAAGAGTTTTTTAAAGATTTGGCTGCTGGCAGCAAGGCAGAGATGAAAATGTTATACTGTTCCTTACTCCACCAATAAATTAGAGCCTCTTAAAAAGAGTTACTTACCTTGATATGAATAGAAAACCAGTCAGGGTCAATGAACACACCTTCCCTACATATAAGACTATTACATAGAACAGAGCTCTTGAAGAGACCATGGATTAAGCACAAAATCCATGCCTAATGGGCAGTGCAGGACTCTAGGTCATTACAACTTGGATCGTCAAAAAAGACTGACGTGTCTGTAGCTTATAAAGCTGCATGCATCTTTGACACCAGCTCTGCACTCACGAAGAGCAGAGTGCAGTTGTGGCAGCAAAGCTAGAGGACCACGGTTCAAACCAGACCTCTCAACCAGACCCTCTCTCTTGCTGGAAACTTGGCTACGTTTGTTAGAGACTTATGGGCTTGATGGATGTAGGGGTGATGGGTTTGGGTAGGGACACACGATAGACAGGAGCAGAAAGTGGCAGGCATTGTTTACTTACTCTCAATGAAGGAGGCCTTGCTTTTGATGAGGTGGTTTGGCAAGCTTCCATTATAAAAAGGTGTTCCCACTGCCCTCTCCTAAAAACCCCACCTTGAGCTTTATTGCTCTATGTCTGTCATGAGCAATACACAGCTATTTCATTTTAAGTTCCATCAGTTGTTGGTGGCACACACCTTTAATCCTAGCACTCGGGAAGCACAGGCAGGCAGATCTCTTAAGTGGAAGGCAATATGGTCTACAGAGTGAGTTTCAGAATGGTTAGGGCTACACAGAGAAACTCTGTCTTGAAAAACCACACATCCCCACTTTCCTCAGACCCACTATCCACGTTTTAAGTACTCAATGGTCACATATGGCTACAGCTACCATCCTGGAGCAGAGAGGTCTAAAGCATTTCCATTACTGTGGAACATTCCAATGGCTTTACACCTGAGAAACTGTACCAGGAAATATATGGAAATAGACTGGGAGCTGGAGTAGCACCCCAGGGACCTTGCTGTTACAAACCTGGCTATCAACACAGCTGATACTTGAGAGTACACGTGGGGTATGCCTGGAGTCTAAGTAGTTAACCTGTCTAGGTGTACAAGCTTCTGTTGCTGAACAGTCTCTGTGTATGAACACTGCTCACCCAGGCACTGGCTGGGACAGTCAATGATTGCATAACCCCCAATTCAAAAGAACCCCCCCAAACTTAACACTTGGGAATCCCCATTTAAGAGAAGCTTCAAGTGAAGGAAGCCAGATGTTCTACAAGCAACATAATGAACAATGAAGAAAAGCAACTGTCTGACTAAAAAAGATTTAATACCCTGAGTACAAGCTAGGGTGAACAGCTCAGACAATATGAAAACTTATCAGTAGGGAGAATGAGGCTAAGTGTAGAGGTGCATGCCTTACAACCTCAGCACTTAGGAGCAGACAGGAGCATCAGTTCAAGGTTATCTTGAGTCATATAGTGAATCTGAAACAAGCATGGGACACATGAGACTGTATCTCAAAAAAAAAAAAAAAAGAAAAAAAAAAACAACAAAAAAACAAGTAGGGAGAAGAGAGGAAAATAATTAGAAGTAGAGGTATAAGAAGGGAGAAAGGAAAACAATAGTCCAAAATCCAAATCCCATGAAACAATGGTTCAAGGCTCTTTACTTCCTTCTTACCTATCCCCATAGCCAGTGCCTTGCCTATAAAGCAGCTCTACAGCAATTGCACACAAATCCCTATATACAACACTTTAAAAAAATCTTCCTGTGCGCCAGGCGTTGGTGGTGCACGCCTTTAATCCCAGCACTCGGGAGGCAGAGGCAGGCGGATCTCTGTGAGTTCGAGGCCAGCCTGGTCTCCAGAGCGAGTGCCAGGATAGGCTCTAAAGCTACACAGAGAAACCCTGTCTCAACCCCCCCCCAAAAAAAAAACTTCCTGTACAATTTTTGTTCTTTTTAGTTCCTCTAACAGAAACTTGGAGAGAAAACATTAGAAGGAAAAAAAGGATATGGAAGATGTCGACTAAACACAGTCACCTGGGAAGGGGAAACCTAGAGAGACTGACTCATAAGACTGGACTCTAGGTATGTCTGAGGAGCATTTTCTTGACTAATGCCTGATTTTGAAGGGCCCAACCCATTGTAGACAGTGCCACTCCTGGGCAAGTGGTCCTGGGTTGTGTAAGAAAGCAAGTTAAGGAGGAGAGATGGCTCTGTAGTTAAGAGCACTGGCTGTAATATCCAGCAACCACATAGTGGCTTACAACCATCTGTAACTCCAGTTACAGGGATCCAATACATTCTTCTGATCTCTGAGGACACAAGGTAAGCACATGATGCACAGACATGCAAACACACATACATATAAAATAACGAAATAGGTTGAAAAGGAAAAGAAAGAAAGAAAAAGAAAGCTGAGCAAGTCATTAAAAGCAAACCAGTAAGCAAAATTCTTCTGTGGTTGGAGCTTCAGTTGCTGCCTCTAGGTTCCTGTCCTGACCTTCTTTAGCAATGGCCCATGACCTGAGGGCTATAAAGTGAAATAAATAAACCCTTTCCTCCCCCAGGTTGTTGTTTTTGGTCAGTGTTGTCACAGCAATAGAGAAGCCTAACTAGGATACCAAGCATGTAATCCCACTGCTGGGGGTATGGGAAACAGAGACCAGAGGAAACTGGGGCTTGCTAGCAGCCAGCCCTGCTCAAACCAAACAACCAATTGGTGAGCTCCAAGTTCAGTGAGACCCTGTCTCAAGGGAATGAAGTGGAATGTAATAGATGAGAGCAACCTGCCACCCTAGTACACCCACATGTACCACAACTCTCCCTAAAACAAACAGGCTCCATTATAGCACTTACTTTCTTTTTTAAAAAATAATTTATTATTTGTATTTTATGTGCATTGGTGTTTTGCCTGCATACATGTCTGGGTGAGGGTGTCAGGACTTCTGGAACTGTAGTTACAGTTTTGAGCTGCCATGTGAATGCTAGGAATTGAACTGGGGTCCTCTGGAAAAGCAGCCAGTGTTCTAACCCTCTGAGCCATCTCTCCTGCCCCCACCACTATTTTTGTTAGCCTTCCCCGTCCCTCCGCCCCATCTGTTTTATGTCTCCCCACAGTAACCAGTGCTCCACTTTCATGTCACAGTATAATTTCTTTTCCCTACACTTCTCCATTCACAGTCCCTCCTTTAATTTAGTGACCTACATTCATACCCTCCCTCATACACAGGCATGCACACACACTATATAAATTAGAATCTAACATCTAAATGAGAGAAAATATGTGGTCTTAGTCTAAGTCTGAGTTACTTTACTCAATACAGTTTCCCGTTCCGTCTACTTTTCTGTAAGAGTGTTTCCAATTCATCTACAGATTTAGTGAAATCCCTATCAAAATTTTAATAGTCTTTTATTCACAGAAATGTGCAAGTTGACCATGAATTTCATAAGGAACAAAGAGGGACCCAGAATAGTGAAAACAATCTTGGCGGGAGGGAGACAGAAATTTTCCAAATTTCTTGTTCCATTTTTTTGGGAAGCAGGGGGACATACTTTGAGACTAAACCCAGGGCCTTGCATGTGCTAAAGTAAGCATTCTACCATTCCCAATTTCAAAACCTGCAAAGCTATAGTAATCATGATAATGGAATATTGCATAGAGGCAAGAAATAAGTCCATGCATAGTGGTCAACTGATTTTCAACAAAGTGCCAGAATCCTATCATTCAATGACAGAAGAAGGGTCATTCTGTAAATGGAGATAGGGCAACTAGATAACCACTTACAAAAGAACAGATCTGAATTGCTACTCCACAAAATAGTCAAAGACTAAAATAAGAGACCTAAAACTTTAAAATGCTTAGAGAAAAAAAAAAAAAAGCAAAACCCACTTTGGATTAGGTGTTTATTACTTTAAGATGACACCAAAAGAAAAAAATAAGATAAATTAGACTTCTCAAAAGCAAACTGAGGATACTATCTCGAGTGCTTGTCTGGAGTGCATAATCTCCTGGGTTCCATCCTCAATATTATGTAAATTAGGCATGTTGGTGTACACCTGTAATCTCAGCACTAGGGAAGGAGAGGCAGGAAATCAGGAATTCAAGATCATCCTTGACTACATAAGCAAGTCAGTCTGAAAAGATACTTGGGCTATATGAGATCTTGTCTCAAAAAAAAAAAAAGAAAAAGAAAAAGAAAAAGAAAGAACACCTTCAGAAGAGTGAAAGAAAGCTCAAAGAATGGAAGAAAATATTTGCAATTCACATATCTGGGTCGGGGGGCTTAGAATTCTTAATACTTCACAACAAAAAGACAAAATAAGTAAAATAATTTAACAATGGGCAATGAACTGGAATAGACACTTCTCCATAATAACTGTACAAATGGCCAATAAGCACATAGATGCTTAATATTACTAGAGAAATATAAAACCAAACTACAGCATTTCACAACACTGGGATGTCTACAGTGATAATAAGAACACCTAAGTATGGTTGGTAAGGATATTGGGAAATTGGAACCCTAATACATTGCTGATGGAAATGTAAATGTGTATATACTTTGGAAAACCATATGGCCGTTCTCCCAAAAGTTAAACATGGAATTAACATGCAAAGAGAATTGAAATCCTATGACTACTATACAAAGATTTGTATGAGACTGTTCTGTGGCAACATGATATATAGTAAAAAAGAAACAAACTCCATGTCCATTAACTGATGAAAGGTAAATCCAACACAGTAGGTCCTTTACAATAAACAGTTTGGAAGTGAAAATAAATGAAGTACCTAACACATGCCACAACATAGATAAACCTTAGAAATCAAAAGGGTGTGTGGTCCCAGCTTACCTGCATCAATGGCACATGGGTAATGGTATCGGAAGGAGCAGCCTTTGTTGTAGCAGCCCAACGTAGCGCCAGCCTCCTGGCAGTGGGAGCATTTCTGAAAGGAAGAAATGAGCATGTCAGTAACTCCAGACCTGCCCCTCTCTTGCAGGCTTCTCTTTACCTCATCTGCTAGACTTCAGCATGGCCTTTGTGGTTGGAGAAATCTGTGGTGGTAGGAGAGACTGGTTGATCTCTCAACCACCACTCGCTGATCACACCATGGGAAGAGATCCAGCAGATTGTTTTAAGCCCAAGCCTAATGAATACCTTTAAGTCAAACAGAACACACCAGGGCAAGTGAGTGACATTATATTACATGTGGTAGACATATCAATGGGTGTAGCACCCAGACCTGCCTGTTTTACATACTCCCATGCTCTATTGGTAAATGCCTCTCTACTATTATTCACTGCCTATAGATCCTGCTTCTATTTCTGACATACACACACACACACACACACACACACAGAGAGAGAGAGAGAGAGAGAGAGAGAGAGAGAGAGAGAGAAACCTTTTACAATTAAAGTAGAATTTGGTTTCTAGTTCTTATATTTGTAAGATTTTATTTTTAATTTTGATTTACTTATCCCAAATGCCCAATACAAGTATATTTTTCTTTCCAGAAAATATGGGTTTCTGTAAGCAAATGGTATTTTTATACATGAATCTTATTTTAAATGTACTAGGAAACTTGCCATGAATTTCTGGCTAAGTGAGACACTATTCTCTAATTGCAATGCTCCTCCTTATATGGTCAGATTTTCTTAAAGCAGGGCACATCTCTATTGTCACTTTGATGTGGCTGCTGTGAGTACTAATCCTGTCAATCCCATCAACATCATCACCAAAGGCCCTACTGAGGAAAATATGCAGATTAGTTATCCTTCCTGGGTGTGGCTATGATCCACACAGGAAAGCTAACCAGAAGACACACACTTGTTCCTGATTCTATGAAAAATAAAATGTGTGTGCTTCTTAAATCCTCACATCTGAGGTGACTAAGTTCCCAGAACATGGCAGCTGTAGAACCTAAATGTTCACCATGTCTCAAGATGGGATAGCTATGAACATTGACAATGCATTCATCTGGTAGGATCTGCATGAGTTCACTGTACAGTCTGGATAAGCAAAGTACCAGAGGGCAAGACCTAGCATTAGGTCAGAGCTAAGAATGTCTCCCGGAGACAAATGGTGTAGGACCTTATACCTCCCTCTCAGAAGACCAAGATCCTTTTAGGTGCCAATAATCAATAAATGTTTACCATGTATCCTTAATACCTATGAGAAGAAAGCAAAGATCATTTAGCCTAGGGTAAACCAAGGACAGTTAAAGAACACTTGGAAGAATCTCCAGGTTCTATGTCTCTTTCAGGATAAAAGGCCTCATCACCAAACCAAAGAAACAGAAAATGGCCAATCTGTCAGTGCAAAACTGGCAGCTTTTCCTCCTATCAACCTTTTTATTTGAAGTACCCAAGCATTCATTTATCCAGAGGTTTTGAGCTTCAGGCCTCTCCATCTTGGAGGATGAACCTCAGTTCATGGTAGCCACTGATGAATGGGTATATTAAGTACTTTTGAAAGTCTGCAAGCAAACATGCTCTTTTTTGCTCTTAAATATGGACAAGCTGGAAAACAGCAGCGTTCTGGAGGCAGAGGCAGGCAGATTTCTGTGAATTTCAGGCCATCATGGTCTACAGAGTGAGTTTCAGAACAGCTAGAGCTACACAGTGAGACCTGTCCCTCTGGGTATTTAACCTCAAAACAAACAACCAAACAGAAAACCAGACAATTGTGCTCAGCCTCTCTTGAGTACAGGACAACAGGATCTGTGACAGTCACCTAATCATCACAAGAAGACAGTCCTGACAAGGCCCATCTTCGGAAGCAGCAGAGTGGAAAAATGAGAGGCCCATCTCCAGACTTGTGATAGGACAACACAGACATACTCTTCTGTTTTTTTTCAATAAATTTTACAACTTATAGTCAACATATCCTAATTGATACAGAAAGAGCCTATTATCTGAGGTGAAGCTGGGCAAGGAAGGGTTAGGTGCACAGACTCTACAATCTAAATAACAACTTTGTTAGTAATTCTTCCACTGCCTCACTATGTCTTATCAGCCAATTTCCTAACCTTTGTTCGGTCCATCTTCAAAGAGAATACTAACAGTGCTCACTTTGCAGAAATGTTGAGCGTTGAATGCACTAATCCAGACTTAGAATATTGCTGGACCAGAACTGCCGTGGTGTCACCCAAGATGACTACAGGCCAGAGATACACTACATGTCCTAAACACCAAAAATTGAACAATCACCCACAGAGTGGTGTTGTTACTACTCATTTACAGATGAGGACAGAGAAGACAAGGCGCTGGGACATGGATGTCTGTTCCCTTCCTACTTCAACACCAGTTGCTCCATCCCTTGCAGGACCTCGCAAAGCAACCTGTTCCCAAACAGTCCACACTACATATGTATCTTTTTCCATGAAGACAGAGAACTCCTCACTCACGAGGAAATTGCAGCAGTAAAATGGTATTTGCTCCTTTCAACTAAAAGTATGATATGGAGCTGGAAAGATTGATCACTGGTCAAGAGCATTTGTTAGTATTCCATAGACTCCCAGTTTCGTTCCAAGCAAGCTTATAGTGGCTCAAAACCATCTCTAATACCAGATCCAGAGTAGCAATATCTTCTTCTGACTTTCTGGGGCACCAGACACTCTAACATGGTGCACATACAAACATGTAGCCAAAACACTTGCATAAATAATTTTTTTTTTTTTTTTTGGTTTTGTTTTGTTGAGACAGGGTTTCTCTGTGTAGCTTTGGAGCCTATTCCTGGTACTCGCTCTGGAGACCAGACTTGCCTCGAACTCACAGAGATCTGCCTGCCTCTGCCTCTTGAGTTCTGGGATTAAAAAGGTGTGTGACACCAACGCCCCATAATAAAATAAAATTTAAAAAGCACAATAAGCTGACTATATCATACCCAAAAAAGATCTCCTGCAGAAGTTATTAGGACCTCAGAGAAAGCACCTTATAAATGGTTTAGTTCATTGGTCCTGCAAGTGTGGTCTGGAGACCAGCAGCAGGAACTGAAAGAACAAATTCTCAACCCATGTTCCAAAGAGCCCTCTATTCGATTATAGCACACAATGCAGACTCAGAACCATTAATCAACTCCTTCTCTTGTAACATAGACCCACAGAGATACAATGACTGACTAGAATCCGTTTCCTGAGAGCCATTTAGTGTTTACTACACTTCTGTACTCGATATAGCAATCTGAAGACTATGGGTGTGAAGGCAGAATTGAGGCCTCCAATGATGTTCATCTGAATCCCTAGAATCAGAGACCTTTAATACTTTGCAGAGGTGGTAGAAGGGGGGAATGTGCTAATTATCTGGGGATGAATCTATTTTCAACACACAAACATTATAAAAACAAAGATTCTCTTTCAGAGTGGGGCAGAGCTGTAGGCTTCAGGGAGATGTGGAAAGGGGATCGGGGTCATACGCTGACTTTGAAGATGGAATAAAGAGCCACAAGCCAAAGAATGAAAGTAGTTATAGCTCAAAAAAGGCAAACACACAAAATATCCCGAGCTTCCAGATAACAACTGAATCCCAGAGAGTGGGACTTCATTGGGCTTCTAATCTGCAGAGCTGTAAAATAACAGGTACATGATGTGTCATGCCAAGTACACAGGAGTTCCTGAGATGCTCATAGTGACAGAAGTGACTGCTCACTTTTCTGTTACATTCTCTAATATACCAATTTCTTCCTCATGGGAAAAACTACAATTTCCTTTCCTTTTTCATAAAGTCAGTTTTGTTATCACAAGGTCCCCAAAGGAGGCACACTGGGTCTGTTTCCAGTGTTTTCCTCCTAGTTGAAGAAGCAGAAGCTAAAGCAAAGGGAACCGCTAAGATCACATAGCCAGGGAGCAATGAACTTAGAACTGTAGCTTTTTATCTACTAATCACAAGTTCAACACTCCTCACTCTGCCTTGCTCCTTTTAGTTCCCCTTCATTTATTTAACCATCCCACATTTTACAAGTACCTCCCACCTTTAATCCCAGCATTCATGAGGCAGCATGGTGGAGCACTGTGTTCCAGGACAGCCTAGTCTACATAACAAAGCAAAACACTCAAAAAAGAAACTCCAGATGTAAGTATTAGAAAATTAATAAATAAAAGTACCTCCTATATGCCTACTGTCAAAGACAAAATATAAAAACCCATCTCTACAAAATCTCAATTTGTTCACTCTATACCCAAACCTATTCTTTAGTCAGCATAATTTTCAATTATATTTTTATTCTTTATGTTTTGCCTGAAAGAAAAACTTACCTCATTCTCCCATACTGTAATTATTTAAAGTCCCCGAATAGCAAATGTCCTTGACTTAGGGGAGATGAGCACACAGTATCTTTTCTGTTTTGTTTTTGTTTTTAAAGACAGGGTCTCATGCAGCTCAGGCTAGCCTTAAATTCTTTCCTTCTTTTCTTTTCTTTTCTTTTCTTTTCTTTTTTTTTTTTCTGGAGACAGGGTTTCTCTGTGTAGCCCTGGCTGTTCTGTTCTGGAGCTTGCCGACCTCAAACTCACAGAGATCTGTCTGCCTCTGCCTCTCAAGTGATGGGATTAAAGGTGTGTGCCACCACCACCACCTGGCCCTCTTTTCTTTTTTTGAGACAGGGCCTCACTTTGTAGCTTTGGCTGGCCTGGAACTTGCTATGTGGGCCAAGCTGGATTCACACTCATAAAGGTCCACCTGCATCTCCCAAGTACTATGATTACAGGTATGTTGTTACCACACCCAGAAGCTTAAACTGATGAAGGAGCCGGGAGGCAGCACTTGGGAGGCAGAGGCAGGTGGATCTCTGTGAGTTTGAGACCAGCCTGGTCTATAAGAGCTAATTACAGGACAGCCTCCAAAGCCACAGAGAAACCTTGGGGGGGGGGGCACACTGATGAAGGAAGGGAAATTTCTTTTAATACAAAAAGTAAAAATTGTTTTCAAGCAACCCTGACAAAAACAAACAAAC